AAAAAGATTAAGATGATTACCCTCTAGTATGTGTATATATATTTATATCTCATTCATACAGAACACTTTTGAAATACAATTTATTTCTGTTTGAAAAATTTATGTTTTTTTTATGGTTGCATAATTAATGTGATAATGACTTCAATAACTTATTACTATAAATGAGGAGAAACTTCGAAATAATCATATTACAATTATACACTGTTAACTAACCAGACTTTCATACAGAATGAAATTTAATACTTCCATTGTTATCGAAAATATCGTAGACTTAAATGAGATATCCTGTACAGTTTAATAATGTTGATGTCGATTACTTCGAAATATGAAGCTGTCACGTACTATATTCCTTTACAAATATCATAAAATCAATGCAATGGTAATGCATACTTTACAATAATCACGTCATAATTCTCACTACATATTGACTGGTAAAAAATACCAGCACATCATTTTACTTACTTTTGCATTGGATACAATCGTAAATGACATCTGTACTAGTTTTTAAATAACATTTACAACTAACAAGTAGTACATATGTCAAACCTTCCTTTTGCGTAATTTGGCTTTTGCTTCTTTTAATAACAGGTCGAATGTGTTATCTTCATTCATAGGTGGCAAATGACTACTGCCAGGTGATCCACTTGCCACGCCATCTGTTAAAAGCAAAACACAAATAAATTTATAATATTTCTTGTACTCTCCCGACACAAACACAATAATATTGTATTGCACTCGTATATATCAAGTTGATCATAATTTAAATTAAACATTAGATAATAGTAGGTATAATTAAATATATCTGTAAAAAGATTGCAGTCTTATCAACTACACAGTCCAACAAATTTTAACATGTTTTTGTTGAACACGAATTTGAAAATCATTTTCCTTCATCAACCTCAGTTTCCTGTTTCCTTTTTCATAACATCCAAACATGTTTCAGGAGCGTTTAAAGAAAGCAAGACATCACTATTGCACCAACTTTCTAGCACACGTTTCAGTTTATTTCGAAATATAACACATTAATGACTGGCCACGAGTTAACTCGTGTTCTTATTCACAGACGTCGTAAAATTACCAGTCAACAATGTGTTAAGAATCCAAGAATACATTACACGACATAGGGAATCTTATTCGGAAACCACAAAGAAAGAAGTTATATTGTATAGTCTAATAGACGTTATTCGATAGAGTTGGGTGATGTGACTACGCTAATTTATGACATTCTACGGTTGTCCCAACAAACATCACCACATTGTGAACAACAAATGTGGGGTTCCATTTAAACAAAACTATTTTGACTTTAATATCTTCCCCACTACTATACTTATAGAAAAATTATTTTTATTATGTAATGATCATTATTAAAAATAGTAAATGAAGAAAAAAAAATGTAGAACATCAAGTGTTTAAATTTTATAATTTAGGTTGATTATTACTATTTGAATGGTATCAATTTCAGAAAAATTTAAGTTTATGTGACTAGGATGTGCATATATCTCTGCATAAGCTATTTAACAGAACTTCCACCTTGGGAAATAACAAATCTATCCAAATAAAGTTTTTTAGATTTCTTTAATAAAAGAAAACAAACCTGAGATATATGTGCATCATTGATTAAACAAATGAATCACTTTTTACATGTAGCCTAAGTAAATTCAATATAAATAAAACTCCTTACCAAGATCAGCATATTTCACTTTACAAAATGCTCTTCTACCTCCGAAACACAAATCATATCTTGGTAAATCTGGATCATCGTTACCATGTTCGACAGCTTCATATGCGTGATGTTTGAAAGCGAACGTTACAAAACCATAATTATCCCTACGATGTAACGCAACAGTTAGACATTCCATTGTATTTATTTACATTAAAAGATATTATACGATACTAAAATATTTACCCATGTTCACGAAAATGGACACTAATATCCACCACAGGTCCAAAACGTTCGAACCTTCTTCGTAAATCAGTTTTCGTAATTCCTTCTTCTAATTGTCCAACATAAATTACCCGTCGTTCCTCCACCTGTCTTTGCTTTTCTCTGTCATATGATGCCCAACTGTCATATGCTTTATGATAAGAACTCGACGGTGATCTAATACAATTAAAACTGTGCTGATAATCTAAGTATTAATAGTATATTAAACTAGCTTAATAATAAGATTTAAATAACATTATTGATGTGACCGAATGTTAGTATGAAGCATAATAAATTTATGAACTTTATTGACGCTATTTTCTATACTTAATGAATTAGAAATTCTTGAATATTATATGCACCTTCTCCTCTCATATTCACAATCCCTATAACTATAACTGTTTGTAGAGCGTTGTCTGTGTCTTTCGTAACATTTGCGATGGCGCCTTTCTTTTCTTCGACGGTTTGACCATTTATTTCTCCCAAAATTAGAACGAGTTGAAGATCTATAAACGTAGATTTGAGAAACTTTTAATTAAAGAACTTCTTATCTTTTTTATGTAAATTATGGTAAACACGTACCTTGAACAACTGGAATATGGTGAAGAACACTGGGACCTTGATCTGGACGATCTAGAATGTGATCGTGAGTATGTCGATCCTGAACTGAAAGTAGATGTAGTATTTGAACGTGAACGAGATGACCAACTACTACTTGAGCTAACGGAACTGCGTCGATGGCTTATTCTTCGATGACGTGTAATGCTGCGTTTACAGGACCTGCTTCTGCTACTGCTACTCCTGCTTCTACTTTTACTCCTACTTTTACTTTTACTTCTCGATCTAGATCGACTTGTACTAGAACTAATCCTGTGCAACCTGTAGGATCGTTGGCTTCTGTTCACAACCTGTTTTTCTCTGAAAATAATTGAATTATCTTGAATCTTCACTACATAATAAAAAATGTTACATCATCAGTAACTAATTCATTAATCAATCGTTATTTTTATATGCTTCAATTAATCACTGCAAGCTATATTACTGTCACAGTATCGTAATGCTTTATCCGATTTGAGACTTGCAAATTAAACTATTTGGACTTACAGATTTTTTCAACTAATAACAGTTTCATTAAATTTCACATTTGCAAATTCTATCTATTAAAAAATAACAAGTATCTGTATAATTTTCAGCAGTAATTTGTATACATAGGCATTCTATAATGTCATTTTAATTTCAGTGATGAATTTCAGTCACAAAAATAATACTGAAGAATTATGTAATTATCTTATCCATTCATGTTTCCAAATTACAAATGTTCTTAATTACCATAGAGATCGATTGGAAAGTCAGTACGGAAATATTTAAAAGCTCATCTGAATAAAAAATAGTCACTATACATTTTTTCCATAAAAACTAGTAAAAGAATAAAAAAGCAAAAACGGCGTAATTTTCAAAACGAGAATTAATATGACAAAACTTCATCTCAATTGTGAAAATTATTTTTGTATATTAAAATCGTTAAAATTATGTATACACATCATTTAAAAATACTGGAAAATGTCTGTAATATTGATTACCTCTCTTCCTCATTTCTGTCATCAACATCAATTAAAGATTTTGGAGGAAATTCAAACACAGTTTCATAGGTTTGTATTCCGACGTCGCAAGTTTTTGGTTTCGGACGAACTTTTTCTTCGTCTACATCTCCTTTCGGCTTTAAAATTGATACAATCTCCCTTTCAGACCAATTAAGGCTACCAAAGTCATCTTTGATAGGTTCGGTTGTTGTAGAAACATGGTGAATATATATTAATGTCATAGGTTGAATTGGTGAATTCGTTCCACTATTATCACTACGATTTTGCTCTCTTCTACTTCTATATTCTGCTAAATTCAGTTTTTTGCGGGGAGGTTTTTTTTGCTCTTCTGGTATGAGTTTCTCGTCAGTATTTTGAATAATAATACTTTGTTGTCTATCATTTGAACTATTATTAGTAGCAACTACATTTTCACAAGCGTTACTTATTACAACGCTTGGTAGTTGCCCATTGAGTGGTTTCTTCAATACAGAAATCATTTGTTTTGTTTTATGGATCTCTCCATTCGTACACTTTGTTTTAGTTGACCCGCCTCGTTGTAATTGTAAAATACTTGTTGCTAAAGCCGAACGTATTTTCATTTCAGGTGTTGAATTACTTGAAGATTCATGTCGAAATTGGTTAACAGAATTTATAGTTTTGTTTGATATATTGACACATTGAGAACGTTCTTTTCCTGTGACTGTTTCTTGTTGACTTTCATCTTCAATGTGTTGTTTCATGCATTTGCTTACTTGAACACTGTTACATACCGCAGTCCCTATTTGTTCTACACGATCACAACTTATTTTATTTAGTTTCAGTGTACAGCTTTTCTTTGCATTACTCTCAACCGAGTGTCCCTTTTTCTTTATTAAAATTTTATTTTCATTAAGTGCTATTGTTGATTTTGTAACCATGTCATGACATTTAGTTTGTTTTCGATCACAATCTTTAACTGGAGTCGTCTTTTCACTGTCACTTGATTGTTTCTCATATTCACTGTTGCTATCAGAGCTACTCACAGATGAAGTAGTGTTACTACAGTAATCATGATCCAATTGAACTAGTCCACCATCAATAGCCCTAGTTTTAGTATTATTTGTTACCTATTATAATAAAATAAATAGTTATTAAACTTCATGTGAAATTATCTT